GTGTAGAAGTGTTAGTCGGTTTATCAACGTTGACGTAAACCTGTGCGTCATCGAAGGGTATATCTTCGTCTAGTGTCTCTGAAGAGGCTGCCAAATTCGCATAAGGATTGCCAGTTGGTAGGAGTGTCTTGTCCACTAAATAAACGATAAATCATTAAATCATGAGAATAAATTAACAGTAGTAGATTGTGATTTCTGTAAGACAAGATTACCAGGTGGACAAATACACATACATTTACCGAATCAGACAATTAATTTCATTAATTTTGTTATTTCTTTAAATAACAGACGCGGTAAGCCTATCGCAGACGATGGAACATTTATGTCGACGAACGAAAACACTGAACAAATATTTCTGTTTGTTGTCTGCAGACCATGAACATGGCCCAACAGACGAACAAATGCTTTAGCTCGAACAATACACTACCGGCCAATGACGTATATATATTAACATACGCCATTGCTACCGTGACATCAAATCACGTGATTCAAAAAACGCATACATATCACATTGTTTTGGTTTTTTAACCATTGGTGTACAATTTGATCAGAACAATTTGATCAGAACTACGTTAAAAACAAGAGGGATTGGGGATATGCATTCATAACGGTGTAAACGATGGCTGCATTTGTAGTAAGAGTTTAAAGTCGCTATATGGCGGAGGGCTAGTAAACATCCACGCATTTTAAATTGGGGAATTGCCTTTAATTTGTAAATTTAGACAACTAAAATATGCAAAAAAATTCCCGAAAGATAAGAAAATAAATTGTCGACATTATACGGCCATATAAATTATTCAACTGACCTCTTGATGGGTTTTCTTTAGACTTTGACATATCTGAATTCAATGGTAAATCGTCTACTTGTTGGCAACCGGATGTTGTAGATTTCTGTCGTCTGAAAATTATAACGAGAGAGAGAAATGGGTTCTAACATCCAATCGAAACAGACTAGGTCATTTCGGGGCTAACATATGGTTCAGTTTTATTTCAATTATTCGCTTTCGCGTATGGGTATTTAGTAATGGGAAACAACCCACGAGGCTGAACAGGCTACCCTACTCCTTGTCACGTACAAGCATGGAATCAAAACTACATCGCTTGACTCAATGACAGACCTTATGATTTAACAGACACGCGTTAAACAATTCGACCATCCAACCCCTCTGCAAATTATAAACGTAACAAACAATAAAGTTTCTTTAGGAGATAGAGAGAAATGGGGTTTGACGTCCACTCGATACAAACTACGACATTTCGGGACTAACACATGGTTCAATTTTATTTCAATAATTCGCTTGCGCGTAGGGGTCTTTAGCAGTGGGGGGAAACCGGAGGACCCGGAGAAAACCCACGAGGTTGGACAGGCGACCCCACTCCTTGTCACGTACACCGAGGAATAGAAACCCCGCCAGTTGACTCAATGACAGCCCGTATGATACAGCGCGCGTGCTAACCATTCGGCCATCCAACCCCCCTAGTTTCTTTAGGACCAAAATCATTCATCGTAATTTCTTCAGGGAATTGATGTATTATTAACGTGAAGCTGATCACGATAGTCCACACATAATTCAGATACGAGTTCTGACCTATTTTACGTTTTTAAATGTTGCTATAATCCAATTCAACAAATCCCAACTGACAAACATCCACGAAATCATAGGCGTACAGGCTCGATGACTGTTAGGCGGGAAGAACCCAAATTCCCGAAAACATTTCGGATTACAAACGGCGGCGCTATTCTTCTGCGAGAGGCGAAGGGGTGAAGCTTACCGTGTAGCAGTGTCGGACTGGTGGGTTGAAGGCGTCTTCGGGGGGGGGGGGGTCTAGCATCAGGAAAATTTTGAAAATTGACCACCGCAAACCCATTTTCCAAGCATTTCAGACCAAAGCAGAAGAAGGCAAATTTTTGATTTCCTGATACAATTAGATAACAGAATGACCTAGGAGCACTATCATTAGGAAAGAAGGAAGGAGAGGACAGGACACAGCCTGTGTCCCGTCCTCTTCTTCCTTCCTTCTTTCTTTTCTTTCCTCCCCCTCTCCTTTCTTTCTCTTTTCTTTTTTCCTTTTTTTTCTTTCTCTTTTTTCTTTATAGGCTTAGGCCCACTTTTTTTAATGAGCTTAGGCCCACCTGTCCGTGACAGGTGGACAGGTGGGCCCAGTCCGGCACTGCCGTGTAGTGATTCCCAAAGATAATTTGGAAAATTTGACGGCCGGTGAATATAGCAACTTCACTGTGGTCCAATTATATCTGTTGAGGCCAAAATGCTCGAATATTGGTATTATTATCTAAAACCTGACTGAATAATGTATTATTTTTCTATTTCATCTTGTGCCAAAGTATGTGCAACTTACTTTGGTTCATTTATCCTTCATAATTAATTTGAGATCCAAATCTGGGAATTGAACATTCTAAAATCAGGGGGAGATCACTGGTGATGGAGAAAAAACTGGGCTGAGGAAAGTCGAAGAAAGTATTTTGAAGAATTCTGGAACTGTTGTTGGTTTTTAAGACAGTATGACAGCAAACAAACTCGGTAAAAATACGAAGGGAACATTATTAGCATTTTTGTGTATCTTATTACTGTAATTATCAAAGTATTTAAGGAATTAGAACCATTCTCCGAAAACCACGTGGTAGACCCGATTATCCGGAACTTATGTACCGCCATATCTGTGAATTGTAGGTCTTGTCCAGCCACAAACTGTGCCAAATTACTTTAGAATTAATCATATAAGTGATAATATTATATAAATACTATGGTGCCTTTGTGACCTACTTTATTTTCATTATTCTAGTGTCAAGTGGGCAGCCAATAAGCCTTTGTACTGTTGATTTGTAACCTCTGTTGAATCGGAAGATTCTATGCTGTAGAATTGATCTGTTTACATTTCTCTTAATAATCCTGCATCTTGTTAAGCTATTTGTCTCCCTGCTAACCCTGAGCATCTCGGATCATCCTTAGTTGTGTCTTTGCATGTGGAAATTAGTTAAGGCCCTTATTATTTACTTAGGATATGAGTTATTATTTTAGTATTGTGCTTATGTCAATCTTTGTATTTTTCAGTAAATCAATCAACAATCAACCTTGAGTCAATCAAACTTGAGTCAATCAATCTTGAGTCAATCAATCAGTCAGTCATAAGTCAACGATAAAGTATTAGATTGAGAATGTCCTTAAACTGGAAGAACATATTAGAGAATTAGAGAAAATTATTGTTGTACATGTATAAGAACATTCCCTGTGATTATAGTATATGTCCTGTATGGTGTATAGTTGAAGTTGTGAGAATTAAAGATAGATACATTGTACTGGACCTTTTTAGAATATTGTGATCACAATATCCTACTTTATGGGACTGACCTAAATCCCAAACAAATAATCAAATGTCTCGGGTTATGGGAGCCTCGTCCTCTCCGAGAAAATTTTGAAAATTTAACCGCCGCAAATGCATTTTTCTGCTACTCTAGCCTGTAAGTGAAGCAGCTTCACAAATAATAATCGATGCCCGAATAATTCATAGTTTTAATCTATCGTCAATTCAGTACAATTCGTGGTATTCAATTAAAAGAAAAGTAAAATTAGTGCTTTATTAGATTTCGAAAAGTCAGATTACCCGAAAGTTAGCTGCCCCCATCCCCCCTCCAGACACACACACACACACACCTTGGCTTTCCTACGTTGGAATTACGTCGTAAAATAAAATAAATTCGGGCATCTAGTAGCTTTATATTTAGCTCTCGCTACCTAACCAACACACTGTATATTTGAAATTGAATAAGTCCAGGTATATATTCCCAAAATCTTGGCATAGTGGCTTGTGGACCAGAGACATGTATTACACTGTTTAATATGGCAAAAAGCACTCGCGATTTTGCCATAACTAAAATGATATATCTTTTTTAATTGTATCATAGTTTGGAAGGTCTAACTTATCTTTGTTTTTCATATACCCTCGATATTACGATAAAGAAAACATACTCACCTTCTATATCTTCTATAGAACAGAGCACCACCGATTACAACAATTACAATAACAATAAGGATCAACACCACACTTATTATCATTCCGTAATTTTTGGGAGATTTTGCCTCTGGAATTATATGCAAAACAAATATACATTTTCTTACTTCAAGTTTTATTTTCTTTGGTATGGAATTTGTGTACGTGTATCCGAGATGCGTGATACGGAGTCGTGTACCGCGGAAGGCTGATATTTGAGGAAAAGGAACTTGTCTACCATGGAAAAGACGAATCTTTTAAAAAATCTATTAAAGAATCATTTGAATTCAGCCAATGTCTATTATACCTTACTTCACTTTGGTGGTCACACTATTAAACTGTTCTAACAAATGATTCAGATATTCGGTCGGGTTTCACAAAGCATTCTTAGACTTACGTTAGTAATTTATTTAACCGTCAATCGCTGTTTATGAGAAATATCTTTGATCCAGAAACACAAAAATCTGTATTTGATACATGAAAACAACAAATGTTTTATGAGGGGCTGTATGTCAGTTAATAAGGCGAGAATGTTTTGTTGACTATGGCCTGGTGTATACCCATACGGATTTTACACTAAAGACGGGAGAGATCTGGGGTACCCACACAGTTTGATCGACAGACAATCGAATCATGGGCTATCTTTTTGATGTTCTACTAAATTTGAACGATCTTTACAATCAATCAATACAATCATGAGTTATCTGTCTTAGTTGTAGATGGAGGCTAGAGTATCTCAATGAAGAGGTGAATAAGCTGTTTCTGATCCAAAATGCTTCAGATTGATCAATGTTTATTCTGAAAGTAACTTCCAGGACTAATAAAATGTAAGTAGCCAACCTTGACAAGTAGGACCTTGAAAACCATCAGCGCAACCAGCAAGTCCACAACTACCAGTAATTAGATCACATGGTGTTTTATTACCACAGTTGCCACATTTACTGGCACAATTGTCACCATAACTCCCTGCTTCACAATCTGTAAATACAAGACAAATATTCAATATTCACAATGTCCACAGTCGCCTCATTGTCTGGAACAGTTGTCACCATAGCGACATGCTTCACAATCTGTAAATACAAGCCAAACATTGACAATTACCACATTTACTGTCAAGGTTTTCACCATAAAATAACAACCTGCTGCACAAGCTGTTAATACATAACAGTACAATTAAACAATTGTTTTGTTCGTAACATCCACACCACAAACATTGCAAATAAAATCCTAATATAGATACTCATTCTTATTTTATTACATTGGCAGCTGGAAGAAGTTTTATATAAGCATTAGGTTGCTTGTTACTGTATCCAATTTATTCATATTATTTCTTCCTTGTTTGTATATAAGAATTTCTGAATAAATACTTTTTTAAATCAAGCATTGCAAGAAAATTTCCCTTCAATAATCCTTTAGTGCAATTTGGTAGTTGGAGGAACCCGGCGAATCCAGAGATTGTCATATAAAAGCATGAAATCAAAACCACAACCATGAGCAATGGGTAGACCTAATTTTATAAACATAACATTATACGAATTATACTTAAATAACAGAAAACATAAAATCTACCTGTTGTACAGTTCGATCCAATTTTACCAGGTAAACATCCAAGGATACAATTTCCTGTCATCTGATCACATAAACCATCTTTACAGTTAGAACGACAATCCTTATTACAATCTATACCATATAATCCTGTTTTACATCCATCAGTACATACTCCATTTGTTATATTACATTTACCAACAGTTGTACCAACTACTGATTTACAATTAGTATTGCATCGGTTATTACATGATGGTCCCCATCTTCCATCTCTACATTCAGTACAAGAGTTGACATTATCCTGGTTACAAACAGTACAATCAGTATTACAGTTGATATCACACCTGTTTCCAGTTTTACCTTTAATACAAGACGTACATTTACCATCATTTCTATCACATCCACCATCACATCCTGTATTACAGTTCATATCACAACTATCACCATATCTTCCTATAAGACAGTTAGTACATCTACCAGTAGTCTTATCACATCCACCATCACAGTCAGTACTACAACTCTGATAACATTCTGTACCATATCTGCCTATAATACAGTTCCTACATTTACCAATATGTCTGCTACATCCACCATCACATAATGTACTACAGTTCTTATCACATCTATCGTCATACCTTCCTATAATACAGTTAGTACATTTACCATCATATCTTCCACATCCCCCATTACATCCTGTACTACAGCTTATATTACATCCTTTACCATATATTCCTATAAGACAGTCAGTACATCTACCAGTTCTATCACAGGTGATACTGGTATGGTGTGTTCTTGGTTGACACCCTGGACCACATGGTAGGTTACAGTATTGACCAACTGTATCAGGTTTACAGTTATTACATATACCATCTATCTTATCACATCCTCCGACACAGTTACTAGAACATGATGAAAAACAGTTTTTACCAAACCATCCTAGATTACATGCAATACATGATGAACCATATTGTTGACATGTTTTACAGTTAACAGGACATGGTGATTGACAATAAGAATCTTGATAACCATCAATACAACCATCTGTACATTCTAGTGATGAAAATGTAGTGGAACATTTACTGTTTATACAGTTAGGACTACAGGGCTGTTGACATGTATCACCGTAATAATCGTTCTTACATGTACAGGTACCGCCTATCTGATCACACTGATTGTTGAAACACCCATCACTACATCGGTCTTCACATTTACTACCATAATAACCGTCTTTACATCCATCAGTACAATAACCAGTACCAGGATTACATTTATCATTAAGGCAGGTATTACAAGGTTGACATGTAGAACTTGATGTACTGTAGTATCCAGTATTACATTGTACTAGATCTGTAATATATATGACATATAGATTATAACATGTATTATATGGTTGACATGTAATTCAGTATTACATTGTGCTATGTATGTCCAAATTCAAATCAAAATTAAAATGAATTCAATATGAAAAGTGAAATTAAATGAAAGTTAAAATCTGAATCAAATGAAAAGTAAATGAAAATTTTTTTTAGCAGCCTATCGCTATTATAATACCACATATAGCTTTGCAGCGTGGCAGAATTGACCTAATTGAACTATGACCCGTTTTGACACACTGATTGGTTACTCCTGATGGAATACGACGCTGTTGTCATTTGCCTTATATCCCTGCAAATCGTTTCTAATAAATTAGATTTTATTACATTAACCAAATCTTCGCTGGAAGGGAAATCCCACATTATTAAATGCCCGAAAGGAGGCTACATATCCATTCGGTTTATCCTTCGAATGCATTTGTGTTTCTTTGGAGGGAGTCACTGTGAGTAAGACTGTGATTCGCTATACTGGAGGTTCCGTGTCCAATACCTGCGATGGCCGAGAAAGTTCATCGAGGTTTCCCGGCAAGGGACAACGTATAGTCGTTCAAATGGGACCTGAATTGAAATGCGTGTCTGATCAGACATTTCCTGCGATGGCCGAGAAAGTTTATCGAGGTTTCCCGGCAAGGGACAACGTATAGTCGTTCAAATGGGACCTGAATTGAAATGCGTGTCTGATCAGACATTTCCTGCATTGGCCGAGAAAGTTCATCGGGATTTTCCGACGTGGTGCAGAACGGAGGGCCTGACAAGGACAGCTGTCTAGTCCTTCGGATGAGACGAACAACCGAGGACCCGTGTACACATTGGCGTGCACGTAAAAGATCCCTTGAGAGTTGGAATTCGATATGAGAGTAGGCCATAGTGCCGCTGTCAGGGCAAAATTTCCCTCATAGCACACTGTATGGCGTATGCTCGTCTTCATTAGCACAGTTTGACAAGGGAGACACTGACAAGGGAGAAACACGCCGGAAAATCTGGATGAACTTTCTCGGCCAATGCAGGGATCGAACACCCGACCTCCAAGCTAGCGAGCCAGCGTCTTTTTTTTTTTTTTTTTCTTTCTTGTAAATATGTTTATTCAATAAATATATAATCATAATACACTGTACATACATTTTAATCATGGAACAGCACAAAACATTCTTAGTTAATTAAAAGCATTATTTTTGTTTATTTGATTTTATTTATTTATTTTTTAAAAACAAGAAAAAGGAAAAGACAAGAAATAAATTCCTGAATCAAAGAGAGAGAGAGAGAAATGGGGTTTAACGTCCACTCGACACAAACTAGGTCATTTCGGGACTAACATATGGTTTAATTTTATTTCAATAATTCGCTTGCGCATAGGGGTCTTTAGCAGTGGGAGGAAACCGGAGGACCCGGAGAAAACCCACGAGGTTGGACAGGCGCCCCTACTCCTTGTCATGTACAACCGGGGATTCGAAACCACGCCAGTCGACTCAATGACAGACTTTATGATACAGCGCGCGCACGCTAACCATTCAGCCATCCAACCCCCCTCCTGAATCAAAATACAGAACCATTGACACATTAACACATTGATGAAATAATAAATCAATAAATCAATGAATCAATATATTAATTCATAAATATATTTATATTAGGTTAATTAAAATATGTATTAAAAGGTTGTGCTATTCAATTTGAAACTTCAATCAAGATATAATTACACAAATTTACATAGTATGCACATATGATGTTAAAGCTATTGTTGCTAATCTGATATTCAGTAAGGGTAATCTAAGTCAATACGAATACTACAATTCATAATTAAAAATCAAAAATTAGTTACTTTATCGTTTTCTAATCATTTATATTTAATAGTGGATTCATGGTGTTTTAACAATTACAAAGCTTAGCTTATATTTACGAGCTGATAAGATTTTACACAATAAGTAGCAGACTTGATTTCTGCCGTCTGCGCGACGCTGTGTCCCAGTGAATGACCTTAACTATAGACTGTGCCAGGTACGCAAGCCTTTACTTTCCAGTTCTATTTTAACACTATACATCATAGAAGTCTTGTTCTTCCAGTGCTCTTACAATTTAACACTAAAAAGGGCTACTGTAAACCTTTTAAGGCAGAATTCTCTGGAGATAAATAATTTAACACAACTATCTTACCTACATCTTTATTGTTTTGTTTGTTAGTCACTAAATATAGTAAATTTTGGGACATAGAGGTTTGTCATTTAAGTTTGAAGCCTATTTTCATGTGCACAATGTTCAACAATTGTCACTCCAAGGATATTATGAATTGAAAATGTTTGATTCTTAACATGTATATAACATTTTCTCTGCACACTATTACCTTAATATAGTTCTATTTTGGCGCTATTAGCCACCGTGATCCCCATTGAAGTAGGGTGTGAATTGGTGAATACGAACTAGAAGATACATAACTAAGAACAAAGTCAAATTTTGGATCACGTTCCTTCATGTATGATAGTATTTACACCAGAATAAATATGCTGATTATTTTTAATATGTATTTTCTATAAGCCTTTTTCTTAAATTTAGAGAGTCAATTTCAGTTATCGTGTGAGCATTCATTAAGACCAAATTACGTTGATCAGGTAAACAAAATTTAGCTTCTGATAATTCGTTGTGGCGCATGGCAGAACTCGAACATGCAAGATTGAAGTCATCACGATACACAAGTCAAATTTTTGCGATGTTCTTTCTAAACTCGGCAAAAAGGACTTCTAAAACATGAATCAGGGTTGAATAAAGACTTAAATCAGAGTTAAATTTCGTCAGGTTAGCAAAGACCTAATCATTTTCAATTTTGATTGGAGATTCAAATGGGTGTGATTTACTTTCAACAAAGTTTTGAATATTCGTGTTTTCGAAAAAATCTTGTAATTTTTTATAAAAATAGTTTTCACGCCAAGAGCATTAATACGGCTTGTAATATACGCCACAGTGGAGCAGTAATTAATTTATCTATCTATCAAGTCCAAAGCCTGGCACTCATTAGGAAATAATGGAATTTTAATATCTATAAAGATATGCTTCGGGTCAACCTGTTTTCTGATCCAAAATCATCAAGAAAATTTTATTTGATATGTTTGGCCATATAATTTACAATTGCGGCATGTGCAAAAAAATATTAAACCGATTACCATGAATGGCGTTATAGCGGTAATTTTGAAATCCAAGGGTCTTGAGATATAGTTTTAAAGGTAATTAACACCATATATGAGAGGTATTTTGGGGACAAAATTTTAATTACTAATAGTTGTCAAATGTGTGAGACCTTGCCAACAGTTTGTATAATTGTCTATTCACTTTAAACTAATTTGGACCTTGTCTGGTTTTATCACGTAGAACTAGACAACAAATCAAAAATAAAAATAGTATTAACTACTAGCCACAGACTACTTTTATATGTTTTAATATATGTTCTTACCGGAATATATCTGAACTTCACATAAAGTAAGTACTTGACTTGAAACACTGACATAGACTGTTCTAGCAGAAAAACTAGTTGATGTAGGTTGATTACATCTATTTACATCATAAGTACCGCTTGCAGTCCGTGTTCTATCTGTATAGCATGTTGTAGCTGATTGAAATTCTTCATTACTACACTGACCACTAGAACTTGTCTTTATCTCAAATCCACGTAATCTTTCTGGATCTTAAATATACAATAAAATAAAATACATTTAAACTTAATTATAAAGTAGCCATTGCAGTCATGTTAAAAGATGCAGAGGGGATACAAGCAGGAATTTATGTTTTGCCTAAGATCTTGCTTGATTAGTGTGCTTATAACTAGTTGGTGATATTAAATAATTAGTTAATGTTGAATGTCACTAACGTATATTTGCAATATCTTGAATCGTAGATCAACAAAGATTGTTTATTTCACCAAGCTGCAGTGGGTTGGGTGATCGAACTGTTTAGAGCGTGATCTTTAGAAAGGTCTATTGTCAATACAAGTATCATGATGTAATAATACGGTACGTTTTTAGTTTTAGCTTCATTTAATAGCCGCGTCATTCACAGGGCCGTAACTAGCTCAGCGCAACGAGGGAGTGGGAAGCGTTCTTAGGGGTGCTGTAAAATTGACGCACCGTGTATTTCGATGGTCGACAATATTTTGCAAGGGGAGGGGGGGGGCTTCGCCTTTAGTTACGGGCCTAGTCATTCCGCGCCCCTAAATCGTTCGACCACCCAACCCACTGCAGCTTGATGTAATAAGCAATTTTTGTATTCGATGGCATGAAAAGGGAATATAAATGACTATAGTCTTAAAGACAATACTGTCACAAATAACAGAGATTGAATACACTTACTACTATCTCTATTAATTATTCTGATATATAAAATATTATATATCTGTTGTAGATTAACACACCACCAACTAGGTTTATTGTTACGTGTATGTGAACAGTGTCCTTTGTCCCAGTTGCTATCAGTATAACCATCCACAGCATTAGAAGAACGTGACAGAGATTCATTGTGTCCAGCTTTAGAATTAGAATAGATAGAACTCTGTTCGGTTTGTTTATTTAGAGCAACGTTAACCCCTGTAAATAATATGTAAAACACCAAGTTTATGATTGTAATATATTGGGAATATTGCTTAAAACAAACTAACAAAAAATGATAGTGTGTGAAATATTTAGATAATATCATCATAGATGTATTTTAAGTGATTTCTTCCAAACGAGTTTGGGGATCTCCCAAAAAATATTTTGGCTGGGGCTATTTGCCACATGTGGTAAGACAATCCGGAGACTATTTGCCACATGTGGCAAGTCTCCGTACCGCAATTATCAACCGTTTTCAATGAAACTTACAGATAACGATAACATTAATAATATCTCAGCGTGGGTAAAATTTCGACCACTTCCGGTTAGCGGTTTCGAAAATATCAGGTTACCACACATTTCATGTGGCACGGCTACAGACCATAATTATCAACCGATTTCAATGAAACTTGCAGATTATAATAACTTTAATAATATCTCAGAGTAACCAAAATTTCGGCCACTTCTGGTTACCGGTTTCCGAGCTATCAGGTTACCACACATTTCATGTGGCACAGCTACAGACCACAATTATCAACCGATACCCATGAAACTTACAGAATATGATACCTTTAATAATAACTCAGCGTAGGCAAAGTTTCGGCCACTTCCGGTTAGCGGTTTCCGAGATATCAGGTTACCACACATTTCATGTGGCACGGCTACTGACCACAATTATCAACCGATTTCAATGAAACTTACAGGATATGACAATATAAATAATATCTCAAAGTAGCCAAAATTTCGACTACTTCCGGTTAGCGGTTTCTGAGATATCAGGTTACCACACATTTCATGTGGCACGGCTACAGACCACAATTATCAACCGATTTCCATGAAACTTACAGAATATGATAACATTAATAATATCTCAGAGTAGGCAAAATTTCGACCTCCTCCGGTTAGCGGTTTCGGAGATATGAGGTTACCACACATTTCATGTGGCACGGCTACAGACACAACAATTATCAACCGATTTCCATGAAACTTACAGAATATGATAACAGTAATAATATCTAAGAGTAGTCAAAATTTCGGCCCTTTCCGGTTAGCGGTTTTCGAGATATAACGTTACCACACATTTCATGTGGCACGGCTACAGACCACAATTATCAACCAATTTCAATGAAACTTGCAGATTATAATTACTTTAATAATATCTCTGAGAAGCCAAAATTTCGGCCACTTCCAGGTAGCGGTTTCCGAGCTATCAGGTTACCACATATTTCATGTGGCACGGCTACAGCCACAACTATCAACCGATTCCCTTGAAACCTACAGAATATGACAACATTCATAATATCTAAGAGTAGCCAAAATTAATAATATTAATAATATCCCAGAGTAGCCAAATACATTTAAACTTAATTATAAAGTAGCCATTGCAGTCATGTTAAAAGATGCAGAGGGGATACAAGCAGGAATTTATGTTTTGCCTAAGATCTTGCTTGATTAGTGTGCTTATAACTAGTTGGTGATATTAAATAATTAGTTAATGTTGAATGTCACTAACGTATATTTGCAATATGTTGAATCGTAGATCAACAAAGATT